CTTCATCATGTCTACATGAAAAAATCCAATTTCCTTTCCTTTAAATTTTGAATGATTGGGTACAAAATGGTATCATAACTTGGATAATAGTATTTTTAAACTGTTCTGGTGTATAGGACAATAGGTAAATTATTACCATCTATAATGCTGAAGGAAAGTTAGATTTTGTCACATTTTTCTTATTTAGAGTGTCTCCACATTTCTTTGGACTAGATTTATCCCATCCATGAATCAGAAAATTCTTTGATTGTGTCCTTTTCATATTTTTCGGTGTCTTTAGATTTAGAAATTGGCAGCTATGGCTTGAGAATATGTCTTTTAATCTCCCCTCTCAAAGTAAATCTATCCGTAAAAATAAGACAGTATAATAAAGTTTCTTTTATTAGATTCTTAATAGTTATTATGAAATTCTAAAATTACAAGTTTTAGATAAATTTTTTAAAGTTAGATATATTTTTGAAAAACTACAAAATTATTATTGCAACACATGATATCCAAATGTATTTACTTGTAACTTTTTCCACTTAAGGAAAAGAAAAGCTTCACAAGTTCAAAAGGACAATTTATTGGATAAGGTTACAGAGATTATAGCAGGTAGCTGAAAACTAACTAGTAAGAGCACAGTAGAAGCATTGCAATAATATTGAATTAATTTCTGTAAACAGCACGCTTATCATAAACCTACTCCTACCTTAAAAAAATTCTAGAAAACACAGGAACACTTAAGCATACATCCATTAACTATCAAAGTAATGATGTCATATAGCCTCTGGAGGAGTCTATTGTGTGGTACACATGTGAAAGAATATGAGTAAAAAAGGCAAATTACAACTTAGACTATTTGTTTTGACTTCAGGGTTCTTCTTGAAAGGGTCCTGGGGAGTCTCTGTTTTTTTTTTTCTTTCTTCTATTAGCTGTTATTTTCATATGGTAGGTTACCAAAAATAAAATTACTAAGACAAATTCAGAATGTGGGACATCCAATAAGACAGTTGTCCCTGTCTCTTCAAAAAATCAGTGTAATGGGGGGAAAGGTAGGAGTATGGTTGTGGAATAAGAGACTAGAGAAGCAGAATAGCCCAGAGTAGTATGTGGATTTTTACTGGATCCTGGTTTGGAAAGAAAAAGACAATAAAGAAATTTTTGAACAATAGGTAATATTTGACATGGAATATAGTTATTAGATGATATTATGGAGTTGAGTGAATTTTTCTTATGATAATGCTATAGTTACTTATTTAAAAATATTTTCTTATTTTTAGATCTGTGTGCTTAAATATTAGGGGTAAAATTTCATGATATCTACAACTTAGTTTCAGATTTTCATGAAAAAATATCTATAAATCTGTTTATCAATATGCATATAAAAATTAGATGGATCGAAGGTAAATAAAGCAAAGATGGCACAATGTTAACAGTTGCTAACCTAGGTGATGGGGGTACAGGGGATTCTTGAACTATTTTTTCAGCCTTTCCATTTATTTGACATTTTTCATTGCAAAAAGTTGGTTAATAAACGAAGTCACTGAATCAAAGGATGTTAATATTATTGCTTAATTTCTAAATCGTTAAAAGAATATGGCATGCTTTTAAAACTTACATGAGGCACTTTTAAATAATTCTACTGTGAAGTGTGTAGCTCAGCAAATGATTAGCTTCATAGTCATTCAGATGGAAATTTTTATCCTCTCTTTATCAGTACTGAGTGTTGTGACCTCAGGCAAACTCTAAAGATCCCAGTTGTTTTAGCTGTAAAATGGATGATAGTAATAATGGTTCTTTGATAAAGCTGTTTAAAAATAAAATATATTATCTGTAAAACCCTTAGCCCAGTGCCTGGAAAATAGAAAGCATTCAAATCTCATCTTCTATTATTGTCATGACAAATCCCAAGTCCTTACTTTATTCAACCAGAAAATCCAATGGAAAAGCTCCACACATTAAATCATCTCTATTATATTACAGTCAAGTGCATTTTGTAACTTCAGACCTACTGCAAGTCCTAAGGGAACAAAAACGTTTTAATAGATCCATAAGAATTACTTGTAATTAGCATGTAAATGGTTATGGGTTTTTTCCCCCCTGCCCCTCCCCAATAAGTGAAAATACTCTTTACTGTTTAAACATTTTATGGAAGTTCATCCTTATAATTATTTTGCCTTAAGTTTTCTAAATCATAGACAACTTCATCTTGAGTTATCACATGTACACACTAGTGAAGTTTAAATTAATATCTTTTGATGTATTGGGAAAAATTCAAACAAATTTCATGGGTAGAATTTTAAACTTATGAATATCCTCAATGGTTTTATTCTTGGTGTTCAAGCTGTCAGTGGACTGATAAGTTCTCTCATGTAATTAATTTCTGAGAATTATCTAGTGTTTAGAGAAATAAAGACTTAAGATTTTAAAGATGGCTACAAAAGTGTTTCCAGTATAATTTATAAAAGTGAAGACACTTATTTTCTGTTAATTGATTTCCATTTTGTTAAATCTGAAAGTGCTTAAATTGTTACGAAGAATTCTTTAGAGTGTTTCTTCTCTGAAATCATCCTTAATTTTTATTGGTAATAAATGCTGCTGAACGTTTTGAGGCATTTTAAATTGTAAAAGATCATGATATATATACGATGGAATATTATTGTATAACATGCAATAATATATTAGAAAGAAATCCCATTTGCATTTTGCACAACATGGGTGGACCTTGAGGGCATTATGCTAAGTGAAAAAAGGTGGACAGAGAAAGACAAATACTGCATGGTATCACTTATATGTGGAATCTAAATAAAAAGTTAAACTCATAGAAACAGAATAGAACAGTGGTTGTCAGGGACTGGGGAATAGGGGAAATGGGTTACAAACTATTGTAACCTATAGTTGATAACACTGTATTGTATAGTTGAAATTTGCAAAGAGTAGAACTTAAAGATCTCAAACATACACAAAAGAATAAATATGTGAGGTGATGGATGTGTTAATTAACTAGGTTAACTGGATGGGAGGAATCTTTTCACAATGTACACTTTAAATATCTTATAATTTTGTCAGTTATACCTCAGTAAAGCTGAAAAAATAAAAAATAAGTAAAATTGTAAAAGATAATTAATTAAAATGTGCCCCCTAAAACTTAATGTCTTTGTTTTTTTTAGTGAGTTATGTGGTCAAGCAAATACTAATTTTTTTTTCTCATGAATAAGAATGCTCATGAAAATGAAAGTTTTGTAGAGTGGCTTGACATAGACTTAGCATAGAACTAATGGGGCTGTCTAAAGAAGGCAGCCAGTTATAATAAAATGAGAAAAACTCAGTTGTAGTTTGTGTTTTCCATAAATACCCCCTGGAATAGAAACATTCTAATTATTCTTGTATCTCAGAAGAAACTGAAATATAGCTCATTAAAAGAACAAGAAAGGGCTAAATTTTTCTACCTGCATAGCTCATGGAAACAGCTTCCTATATCTTCCTGTCTCTTTCTGTGATGTGTTCCATCCAGCTGCTGAAGTAGACTGCCGTCTGGAAATTAAAACCCACGTGGCTCAGACCACAGCAATAAATCTGGTGAAACATGGTCCTGGGTGAAATATTATACTTCTTCATAAAAGCTTAGGATTTTATTAATAGGCTTTACACTAAGTAATGGGAATCAGAGTGACAAATTAACAGTAAAACTTTCATGCTTATATCCAAACATTATGTTATGGCTTCTTTCATTACATTATTCTAATCAAGCCAGAGCTGTTTTTCTATAGCAACAAACCTGAAACAAGTCTCATCCAACTCAACTAACTCATTTAAATAACTTTGCTCCATGACAATTTATCTAAAGATCAAGTTTACCGAACAGTCGATCTGTAAGTCAGATATCATACATACAAACATATTTTCACTCATTTATAGTCTTTTCTGTATTCAGCATTGAGATAAGATGAAATAAGAATTTAGTTCCACATCCCAGTTAGATTTTCCAGTGGAGTAGATTTTCAAGAATATTATGCTGATGAGTTTTTTTTTTTCCTTTTAAAGTCAGCATTATCCATATAAAATAAGTTCCTTTGGTTTGTGTGTTCAACATCATTTAGTATTTCCATATGCTGGTCAGTGAGTTTCCCTAATAAGAGGATGAGAAGACATTATTTCAGTGTCTACTATGCGTCTGACTCTTTTCTCCATTCTATATGATCTGATCCCTATAACTGTCCTAGGAAGCATTTGTGTGTCTATGCTTTCATAACTTTATTCAGCACATGCTCTTGAGTTGTTATTAGTAAATCACTGAAAATACAGGGGCTGAGCGAGACAGATATAGTACTGTTCTTATTTTTGTGGAGTTTGATTTTAGCAGTGAAGATGCCCAGTAACAAATACCTGATTAATTATCTAATTATAGTTGCAGGAAGGGTTAACAGAGATCATAAATAGGAGGACCTGATCTAGCTGGGAGAGGCTGGGGAGAGTAGGAAGTTTCCAGTGTTGGTGAATGAATGCTTGCAGGCCTGAATGTATCATCAGTCCAGCTGAGTCCTGAAAAATGGGTAGTAGTTGGCCTGTAGAAAAGTGTGTGTGTGTGTGTGTGTGTGTGTGTGTGTGTGTGTGTAGGGGGACCTAGAAGTGTGTGTGTGTGTGTGTGTGTGTGTGTGTGTGTGTGTGTGTGTGTGTAGGGGGACCTAGAGAAGGTGATGGAATTGGAAGGAATTTGGTGAGAGCAGGCTGATAAGGGAGAGAGTGGTTTCTCTCAATTATAGCTGAGGCATCCAAGGTCACACAAAGAAATATAAATGGGATTTGAACTTGGTTCTGTCCAATCTCCAATTCTTTCTAGTACATCATGCCTTTTCCCTGTTAGTCATCAAATTATGCTTAAATTATTACTTTGATCTTCATTGGCAGATTCTTTGTCATGAAATCCTTTTGTATTTTCTTTCAGATGTGTTGCTGTTTTATTTATAAAACTGAGTTGCTATGCATGCCTTCAACATCATCTCTGTCTTGTTTTTCAGTGTGCCAACATTCCAGAGCCTTCCTGAAGAGATACTCAGTAAGCTTGCTGACGTCCTTGAAGAGGTAATTGTTTTTAGCCCTTGACCTTTTTGAGATGGGACTCAGCCCATCACAGCTGTGCAATAAGTCACAAACTGCAGAGAGCCCTTTTAAATTTTTTTGAGCACTGACATGAGCTATATATTTGGCTTCAAATAAAAAGCAGCTCAGTATATCTGACATTTATACACAGTTAGAAATGTGCAAATCATTGTAACTATAGAGGGAGAAAAAACTTTTCGCTCTGGCAAACATATTGTTACTTTGACTTCCAAGAATGGGAGACTGTGTATTTATCTCTTATTTCAGTTGGTATAAAGCAAGATTGTAATAATTGCTACTCTGAAGCTTCAGATTAGCAAATTTATAACAAGAATTAGCAGTTGGGTACATATTTTATTAGCATATGAGCATATTTTACACACGTTATTGTATGCCTGAATGTGAAAGTGTCACTGTTACTTACTTTTCACAGAACCTATAAAGCATAAGAAATATTGAAGCAGGAAAAAGAGAGGAGGTTTATACAAGCAGTGTCTTGAGTGAACACAAGGGGATAGGGTCCCTAGTGCCTATAGAGACAGAGAAGGCAGAGTATCTGGGCACATATGTAGATGGGGGTGGGGACTGACAGAGTGGTTGGCGCTCTGTCAAACCTGTTCTGATATCTTCTATTTTCTCTGTAATCTAGAAAGCAAGGTCATCAACTGAGGATGAGGATGGGGTAGAGGTCTGAGAGGTTTGAAGACAGAGGAGAAGGTATGAGAAAAATAGAAGAGGGAATAGACTAGGAAGACACAGTATGACTGACAGTCACCATTCAGGCCCTGTTTGATGTTACCAATCCCTAATCTCAGTTAAACAGGCAAAAAGAGTTCATTCAAGATGTACGATAGGAGAGAGAGATCAGACTCCACTCTGCTGGGCCAAAAGGTGGGAGGATTTTTAAGCACTGGAGTGAGCTGGTGGAAAAGTACTCCAGTAGGGGTGTTACCAGAAAGTAGGTTCTTGTCTCAGAAAGAATTCAGAGATGAGATGGAAGTCAAGAAAGCAAAGTGAGGATTTATTAAGCAATAGTAAGCTCTCAAGGGGAGAGTTCGCAGACTCGGGTAAACAGCCACCCTAAGTTTCTTTGGCAAGCTGGTTATATGGGGCGTGAAAATGATTGGGCAGAATATTCATTGAGGAGGGAGGGGTTTTGGCTCGTATTCACTGATTTTCATCCCAGCTCCACCTTCCCGAGGGGAGGAGGGATTTTTGTCCTTATTTAGTCTTGATTGGAAGTGTCATGGTGTCAGTGCATGATGGGAAATTCTTATCTACAAGGTTAATTTTATTGTAATGATGGCGTAATGGACAAAAAGTTACATTCGAACATTGGAGATTCCTGCCTTTTCCCGCCTTCCTTTGTCTCCAGGACCCCTGTTGTTCACAAGATGTATGGTTTCCTGCCACGTGGCCCACACCCCCCTTTCTTTGCTCATATCTCACTGTCTACCTTTTCTAACAGTGGTTCTCCAGTAGGGAGGAAGTTGGTCAATGTGACTAGTTCATCTGTGCTTGCTGATTGTCCCTTCTGGAAGTTAGGCTCCTATCCACCCATAGAGACTGGGAGATAGAGGCGCTATCTTCTTCTTGATTACTTTTCTAAGGAACGGCTCCTAGGTCCTTGAGAAAGACGTTCCTGAGCTGTAAAACAACCGGTGCCAACAGCCTGGAAGAAGATTTGCATCTCAAACAGGCAAATTAAGAATTTACAGTTGAAAACTTTCTAAAGTAAATGCTCCAAGAAAAGGGAGATCAGGAGCCTAGTGTCAGAAAGAAGGCTGTCTAAAGTTTGGTCAAAGTGAGGGAACCGTTAAGTCTGTCTTGGTTACCAGCCCATTTGTATGTTTCTTCAGCCCCATTTGTTTGCCTGGATTCAAGTTCCAAGTAGACAGAGAATGGGATTTAACCGGGATTGGTATTTTGCCAGGAAAAGATGAGTGGTTGAAAGAGGGAATAGGGAGTTGCGGATGCATGTGAAGGAAGGATTGTAGTGACTGAACCTGGAATTTCGATTGTGCAAGAAGGGGAGCAAGGGCCAGTGAGTGACTCTGGGATCAATGGATTTTAGTCTCAGGAGGCTGAAGAATTTTTGGAGCTGTGCTATAATAGAGAGAAACTGGAAAGATACTGAAAACGTTTTTGTCTCTAGGTATTAACTGTATACCAGTAATTACATGATCCATAGAACTTCAAAGGTTTATATCCACAAATTCTTAGTTTGAGTCTTATCACCGTGAGCTTTCCTAGGATTTATTGGTCTCTCTCATCTTATATGGGAACACAAAGTAAAGCAGAAATCGCATTTGATTCCTATGTTCAAGTATAAAAGATTCATGAGAAAAAATACTGGCTGCATTTCTCTCTGAATGTGCCAACCACTGTACTTGCAACCTCTTTAAATGTAAAACTGCTTTTCCGAGTTCTTTTGTTTCTTGCTTTCCTTGTTGAGTATACTGAAGAACTCTCTGATGACCTTTTTCTTTTTCTTTTCACAAAATGAACTAAAGTACAAATTTACTGGCCCCAATCAAGCCCGTCCAAAATAAAATAAAATCCCATGAAATCCTTTAATCATTTTCTTTCTTTTCCACAGCTGTGGAAGCATTTGCTATGTTTTGCAAAACAATAGCCATAGCTCTATAAATAACTGACCAAAGAAATATTTTAGTATTTTATGTCAGATTTTCTAATCAGAAGATGCCTTAATTTGTGTTATACGAGCCACAGTACAGTCTATAGCAAAGCTGCATGAAAATAGAAACACATGATTAAGGGCCCACACATTTGTTTTGAAGACATACACAAATGAAGTAAACAGACAGAATATGAGGTAGCCATATGAATATACTAACCAGTGCATGAAAGTGTTCAACTCAAGTTGAATAAACAAGCACAATGAGAAATTAGATTAAATTATGTATGAGATAGAGTGAAGCAAATTTGGAAGAACAAAAGCAATAGCAATGTCACATAACATTAAAGGGAAATTTGCTTGCATAATAAGTGAGCTTTTTTCCTACAATATCTACAAGAAAATGAACGAATCCCAGATTATTGTGAAAAGAAGACAGTATAATCATTGCATTTAACAAAGAACTTTACAGCCTTGTTTGTTTAACAAATATTTATGGAGCATCTGCCACTTGCCAGTAATTATTCCAAACTCTGGGGATTCAGGGCCTTGTCCTCCCAAATCATATGTTCCATTGGAAAGTACAGATGAGAATTAAGGAAAATAGCATCAAAATGGCATCAAGTGAGATGGCCACACTGTATTGGTTTACTAAGGGAAGACCTCTCTGGGGAAGGTGGTATTTAAGCTGAGATCGAAATGCAGATATGGGATGCCATGTGTACAGGCAGAGGGAAGAGAAGGCATAAGGTTCTAAACTAGGAATGAGTCTTCTGTCCTTAAGGAACAGAAAAAATGTTTATAGTAGGGTGAGATGAGACTAGAGAAAATAGGCGAGGCCAGATGGCAGATGGCTTTGCCGGTTGTGATAAGGAGTTGTGATAAGGTTTTCTCAGTGCAGTGGGAAGATTTTGAGGGTTCTAAGCCATAAAAATGACATGATCTGGGTTATATTTTAATGATATTTCTCTGTGAGAAGAAAGGATTATAGAGGGACAGACCAATTATTTAGATAAAATAGCCCAGGTGAGGTTAGATGTTTGTATGTCGATTTACTTTCTTATGGACTATTTCATTCCTTGTATTCATTATGAAGCAATACTTCCAGCATAAGGGAGAAAAAAATTAAAGAATAGGGACAAGGTAGTCAAGGACTGAGAGAGAAAAAAAATTTAAGCAGATAGAAAGAGGAACGAACATAATGTTATTGGTGAAGTGATTTAGGAGGGTACATGTGACTGGAAGACAAATAAATGATGCTTGGGGCATCCTATTTTAAAGCGGAAAGAGGAACCATTATATAAGTCATTTCTGCCATTGCCCATCCGACTCCCACTTACCCCCTTCCATAATTTCTAGTGTAGATATACCTATTTATGTGTTCTTGTTTATGAGATTATAAAACGGAAACAAATATCCTTATTCTTAGTGTAGCAGTTCAGTGCCCTTTTCTCCGTTTCCTTTATATCACATAGTACAAATATTTCCTTTGTATTTTAAATCTCTCATGCCTTTTTCAGGAACATAGGAAAGTTTTCTCTAGTTAGTTTGAGAAGTTGTGTTTACACATAGATATAAAGAGGTTCTTGGCCAAAGGTCTATCCACATCAAGAGCAACAATCCCAGCATTTTTTTTTTTTTTTTTTGCGGTACGCGGGCCTCTCGCTGCTGTGGCCTCTCCTGTTGCGGAGCAACAGGCTCCGGACGCGCAGGCTCAGCGGCCATGGCTCATGGGCCCAGCCGCTCTGCGACATGTGGGATCTTCCCAGACCAGGGCACGACCCCGTGTTCCCTGCGTCGGCAGGCGGACTCTCAACGACTGAGCCACCAGGGAAGCCCCCAGCATTTTTTTAGGTTGTGTTTTGCAAGACAAATTGAAGTACAGGGCTGAGAATAATTGATTAATTACTGAATAATTGATTCAATAATTATTCACCTTCATTCTCACCATAGTATGTCCTTCTCATCTCATATCTGACTCAGATTAAGTCTTAATAAATACCAGAGATCATTTTAAGAGCTTCAGAGTTGATTTGCTAGGGAAGCCATTTTATAGTTTGTAAAATAAACTGTAAGAGAATTTTTAGGCACATGTAGGGAATAGCAAGGTCTGACTTTATAAACTGGTTTCATTAACCTCTATACTATCCTGTATAGTACAGTGAAAACTATTTTGAGTGAATTAGTCAAATATTGGAATCTATTCTGAAAGCCTAGGAAGTATGTATGTGTAAAAGAAAAGAGCTGTGAAATTATAAATAGGATCTAATCTTTTTTCTTATTATAGCAACCTAACACACTTTCCTTCTTTATGTACACATAACTAGTTTCTATAGATGAGTTA